CAAATTTGATGAGTTCCCCATTTATTCCCTCATCCAAATCATTGATGAAGATGTTGAAGAGTACTAAGCCTAAAACAGAGCCTTGGAATACTCCACTGCATAGTTCCCTCCATGTAGATGCAGCTCCATTGAGGACTGCACGTTGAGTGCGGTTGGTCAGCCAGTTACGAATCCATTTGGTGGTGATGCTGTCTAACCCCAATTCTTCTACTTTATCTAGTAGTATGTTATGGTCTACCTGATGTTTTTGACATTAGGTGCAGAGAAAGCTCAGTCAGGAAAGCATCTTCTCGATTAAAGAGTGAAATATTTGCAAATTCAGCAGATCTTGTCTTGGGGAAATCTTCCAATTGCCTGAAGCTTCGAGAGTGGCAGGGATCCCAGAGAGCCTGAAGATCAGTGACTCTATTCAATACAGGTAGCTCTCAACTTACGACCAGAATTGAGTCCCAAATTTTGGATACTAAGTGAAACATTTGTTAAGTGAATTTTACCCCATTTTATGACCTTTGGAACCACTAAAGTGGATCACTGCAGTTATTAAGTTAGTGACACAATTGTTCAGTGAATCTGGCTTTCCCATGGACTTTGCTTGTTAAGAAAGTTATGAGAGAGGATCACTTTACTACAGGCCACTGCAACAGTCATAAGCATGAATCAGTTTCTAAGCATCTGATTTTTTATCACAAGACCATGGGGATACTGCAATGGTGATAAGTGTGAAAAATGGTCACAAGTCACTTTTTCCAATGCTGTTGTAACTTTGAACAGTCACTAAATGAACTGTTGTAAGTCGAGGACTACCTGCATGAAGACAAATTTCTTTGAGAACAAGAGGAAGGGGAGCTGCATCCCAATGTTAATTGATCCCTGATTCTGTATTCCCCTGTAGTATTATTCTAAGTGGATGCTTGTATATTTCTTTTTTTTCTGACTTAATTTTTTTTCTCCACTAAGCTTTATGGAAGCATATTACCTTTCTTCCACTACAGGCAAAGTTTCATGTTCTCTGGAGAGGAGACAGCCCATCATTTAAAGTGGTTCAAGTTGTAGTCTTTCTCCCAGAAATGACCATTGCTTTCTAAATCTAACAGAGCCTTCGATTTCATTGGAGAAGCATTTCAGCACAGAGAAAAATGGTGTCACACAACAAAGCAGGGGAAGAAGAAGAAAGGTCCCACATTGTCCTGGTTGGGACTAATGGGAAATCCCGGGAAAGAACCAATTACAAAGTCTTGGAAGAAGAAACTACCAGTTGGCTGATACAGCATCTCCAGTTCAGAGAGTTTCGCTACCAAGCTGAGGGGCCCAGAGACGTTTGCAGCCAACTTCACCACATTTACTGTCAATGGCTGAAACCGGAGAAGTACACAAAAGCTCAGATGCTGGACCTGATGGTCCTTAAGCAGTTCCTGGCCATCCTACCCCCAGGAATTGAGAGCTGGGTTCGGGAGTGTGGAGCAGAGACTTGTTCCCAGGCGGTGGCCCTTACGGAAGGTTTTCTCCTGAGCCAAGCAGAGGAAAAAAAGCAGAGAGAATTGCAGGTAAAAAGTTATCAACAACCTTAGGGGTCCCCAACCCGCAAGGCTACAGCCCAGTACTGAGTTTTAGCCCGTTCGGAACTAGCCTGCACAAACAGCAGGCAAGCACGTGCAAGCAGCTCCATTTGTGCAGGTGGCAGGTGCTTGCTCATTCAAGAAACTCAATTTGTCCACCGCTAGCACAAATGGAGTTTCTCATGTGAGCACATGGGCTCACTACATGTGTGGAACCATCCCCTCTCTCTCCCACACCACAGGTCGCAAAGTCGGAGTCAAGATCTGAAAAACTGTGTTGTTGAATTCATGAATGTTTTCCTTCTGGTGCTATTGCAATGGATAAAATTTGATTTCCACTTTGGAAAGATTAGTGTGGTATCTCCCATCTGTCAAATTTTCAGGACATGTGAGAATTAGTCTTTCTAAAGTAAAGTGGAATTGGGGGATAAACAATAGTAATGCATTCTCCCCTTTTTCTCTCTCTCTTGGCTGCTGCTTCAGATTAAGGGGGTTTACAGGGAGATGGCCATGGAGCCCTCCAAATGGGTGGATACATCATGCCCCCTTCAGGAACCTGTTGGGAGGATCTGCCAGGAGACTACATCTCAGAGCATATCAGCAGGTAAAGCTGTGTTTCTTTGGGTCTTTGCACTTTCTGAACTAGTTTCTTTTAGGAAATTTAGTTGCACTCCATTGCTGTATGTGGCTAAGATTTATTGCTATTTTCCAGAATGTATTGTTAATTTTTAAAATATGTATTTCCTCAACTTTTATCTTATTGTCAGATAACAGAGCAACATTGATGGTACCTTTAGAATCATCTCTTCTTTATGGTGTAGCAGGAACAGCTATTGAGCTTCAAACTCAGGTAGGAAAAGAATGCCTTCCTTCTTCTGTATTCTAACACTATGTATGCTACTGTCTCCAAAACCATCTGAATCCTTTTTTCCAGAGTGAATTTCTTCCACTGTCAAATTTAATCCATTTTTTTTAGAACATGTGCAGCTCCAGTGATCTAATGACAGCCTATTTGATGGCACCTCATGAAGACGTCTTCCTTTTTAATATTTAGGCACAGAATGAGGAATTCTGTTCATCTCCAAGGGATGATATAAGCCACAGATTAAAATGTCAAACAGGAATCTCCCAACTCCTTGTTGAGTAAGCCACTTTCCAGGAAGGATGCCAACCATGATCAATGGTGCGCCCAAGGCCTATCTCACCAGTTGTTTCCATAAGATGTTGGATTTGGTGCTGAATTCTGCAGAGTCAGAAACATTTATTCAGTAAGACAGAGCAGCATTTTCCAAACAGTTCTTCCTTCCAGAGTACTGTGAGAACTTGATGGGGTACCATGATATACAAAGAATGAATAAAAAATGATGCAGCTAATTTTTACAGTAGAATATTTCCTCTCAAGCCTGTTTCATCTAACAGGCTATGTGACCTGAAAAACCTGACAGAGAACTTAACAGTACTTTCTGGTCATATTAACAAGAAAACAAACTCTCTGTTGCTAGTGTTTGTTCTTTAAAAAGAATACATGCAAATCCTTCCTGGACCTGTTCATTAATTGGGAATGTTTCCTTTCTATTACAGAATCCCATATCTTTTGAAGAGGTAGCTGTATTTTTCTCTAAGGAGGAGTGGGCTCTGCTGGACTTGGACCAAAGAACTCTTTACAGAGAGATCATGATGGAAATTTCTGGGAACCTAGCCTCCATGGGTAAGTGATCCTGTCTGTTCTAGGGTCAGATAGCTGGGGAGAGTAAATCCAAACTAACCAATTTATTTGCTTCTTAGAGCAAATGCTGATTTATTCTGTTCTCCAGTGGAAGAAAATATCTTTAACTGATTGTTCCTCCCTGTGGCAGGGAGGGCTAAAACCTGCATAGTGTCCTTAGAGAAAGGGAAAGAGCACCCTCCCATTAGATTTCTAGTGTTGCCTCCATTGGTTGGCATATTACTTTGGGAGCTCCTTTTATTCTTTTATTTCTAAACTGATGGGATTTGAAAAATAGCACTACTACTAGGGATGAAACTGCTAGAAATTAGGCTGGATTCTGGCTGAATTCTCAAAACGTTTGACAACTTAGCGAAATGCTCCTGCCATTTTCCATAAGACTTTCTTGGTTGCACTGCTACCTACAGATCCAGAGACAGATGTGGAAGAAGGAGCGCTTCCAGGCTGGGTAGGTAGCTCCTTTTTTTAAAGAGAATGCAACTTTTCCCCAGATCTCTTCAGTTCTAAAATCCAGATTTTTCTTTATCAACAGAAACTTCCTCTTACTTTAACTTTGATTTCTTCTCCCTCATCCAGTCCATCATTGTGTTCTTGGGGCTCTCTGAGCTTGCTTGTTTTCTTGCAGATGTCATGCAGGAAGAAAAGTTGTTCTTTGGTGGGAGTGTGGCTGCACTCAAATTTTTCCCATTTGCATGTTGTCTGAAGTGTTTGCTGCCCATATGTGGTACTAATAAAGGAGAATATTTGTAGCTCAGGGTTGACATGAGGGGTCCTTGGTGCTCTCCGAGCTTGCATACTTGGGCCAAAGAACAACTTTTTTTCCTGCATGATGTCTGCAAGAAAAAAGCAAGCTCAGAGAGCACCAATGACCCCTCATGTCAACCCCGAGCTACAAACATTCTCCTTTATTAGTAGTACATTATTGTATCAAGGCAAATTTCAAGAATGCCTATTACTACCATGGAATTGATTAATAAAGAGCTGTGGAGCTGTGATAATAGCTTTCCTAAGTGTCATGCTAACACTGAATTCACAAGGGACGAGAACACTATAGAATATTGTACATCAACTACCTAGATGCCAAAGAAAAGTTCACATTCTGGATAACTGATGACAAAAAGCAGGGAAATTCCAGTAAAGTAGTGTCTTATTCATGATTCTACCACATGGTCCATAATAATGGAAGAACAGCGGGAAAATAAAAGATGCATCTAAATGGATTTGAAATCCGATGGCACCCTCAGTATGTGTATTAAGTTAACCCAATATAATGTTTCTGTTTTATATCCAAAACAGGTGATGGACAGGAGAATGAGGATGATAAAAAACAAGCTGTGGAGATTTCCAGAAGAGCCAAAATAAAAACTGAGGAAGGGAAATTTGGAAATCAGCAGGGACCAGAAATGAAAGAAGAAAGCCAGTTCAGCAGTTGGGTGGAGAAATCCCCTACTTCTCAATGTGCAGAAATCCATATCTTTCTGACCCAAGATGAGAAAGAAAAAACTTGTACAAGGTGTGGCAAAATATTCAGAGATAAATCAAATTTGTGTGAATGTTGCAAAACTCAAAGTAAAGAGAAGCATTATGAATGTACAGAATACGGGGAAAGTTGCGACTGGAGCTTTCCTCATACATTACATCAAAACATCCATATTGGAGAAAAACCTTATAAATGCACCGAGTGTGGAAAAAGCTTTGGGTGGAATTGTCGCCTTATGTCACATAAGAGGATCCATTCAGGAGAAAAACCATATAAATGCTTGGAATGTGGAAAAAGCTTTAGTGGTTTGAGTTCATTTAGTTCCCATAAAAGGATTCACTCAGGAGAGAAACCATATAAATGCCTGGACTGTGGAAAGAGCTTCAGTATGAGCAGTAATCTTACATCCCACAAGAGGACCCACACTGGAGAGAAACCATACGCATGCCTGGAATGTGGAAAGAGCTTTAGTACTAGTAGTTCACTTATTTCCCATAAAAGGATCCACACGGGGGAGAAACCGTATAAATGCTTGGATTGTGGAAAAAGTTTCAGTATGAGCAGTAACCTCACATCTCATAAAAGGATTCACACGGGAGAAAAACCGTATAAATGCCTGGATTGTGGAAAGACCTTTAGTAAAAGCAGTTACCTAACTTCTCATAAAAACATCCACACAGGGGAGAAACCATATAAATGTATGGAGTGTGGAAAAAGCTTCAAGGGGCTGAGTTCATTTATTTCCCATAAAAGGATCCACACAGGAGAGAAACCATATAAATGTGGGCAGTGTGGAAGGAGCTTCCGTAAGAGTGATAATCTTAGTTGCCATATGAGAAAACACACAGGGGAGAAGCCTTATAAATGTACGGAGTGTGGCAAGAGCTTCAGTACCAGTAGTGATATTACTTCCCACAAAAGGACTCACTCAGGGGAGAAACCATACAAATGTCTGGAATGTGGAAAAAGCTTTAGGGGCCTGAGTTCCTTTACTTCTCATAAAAGGATCCACTCAGGGGAGAAACCATATAAATGTATGAAATGTGGAAAATGCTTCAGTATGAACAGTTCTCTTATTTCTCATAAAAGGATTCACACTCAGGAAAATCCATATAAATGTCTGGAATGTGGAAAGAACTTCAGCAAGAGTGATCACCTTACCTCTCATAAAAGGATCCACACAGGAGAGAAACCCTATAAATGTCTGGAATGTGGGAAAAGCTTTAGTGGCTTGAGTTCCTTTAATTCCCATAAAAGAATCCACTCAGGGGAAAAACCGTATAAATGTATGGAATGTGGGAAGAGCTTTAGCATGAGTGGCGCTCTTACTTCACATAAAAGGATCCACACAGGAGAGAAACCATACAAATGCTTAGAGTGTGGAAAGAATTTTAGTCAGAGTAGTTCGCTGAATTATCATAAAAGGATCCATACAGGGGAAAAACCATATAAATGTGTGGAATGTGGAAAGAGCTTCAGTATGAGCAGCTCTCTTACTTCCCATAAAAGGATCCACTCAGGGGAAAAATTGTACAAATGCTTAGAGTGTGGAAAGAACTTCAGTCAGAGTAGTTCGCTGAATTCTCATAAAAGGATCCATACGGGAGAAAAACCATATAAATGTGTGGAATGTGGAAAGAGCTTCAGTATGAGTAGCAACCTTACTTCACATAAAAGGATCCACTCAGGGGAAAAACTGTACAAATGCTTAGAGTGTGGAAAGAACTTCAGTCAGAGTAGTTCGCTGAATTCTCATAAAAGGATCCATACGGGAGAAAAACCATATAAATGTGTGGAATGTGGAAAGAGCTTCAGTATGAGCAGCAACCTTACTTCCCATAAAAGGATCCACTTGGGGAAAAACTGTACGAATGCTTAGAGCATGGAAAGAATTTCAGATGGAGCAGCCGTTTGATTTCCCATAAGCAGATCCACTCAGGAAAAACTGTATCAGTGTCTGGAATGTGGAAAAAGTTTCAGTGGCTTGAGTTCCTTTAATTCCCATGAAAGGATTCATACTGGGGAGAAAACATACAAATGCATGGAGTGTGGAAAGAGTTTCGTTATATCATCCCAGTCAAATGATTGTCAGAATGTATTTGAAAAACTCCAGGGATAGAACACCCCCAATTCTGGGAGGCAAGCTACTTGATTAATTGTTCTCAGTCAGAAAATTTCTCCTTACTTCTAGATTGGATCTGCATTTAAGATTACTTCTTGTTCTGCTCTCTGGTGCTGTTGAGAATAAGTTCCCCTCTTTTGTGTGACAGCCCCTCAAGTACTAGAAGTCAGCTGTCATGTTACCCCTAGTCCTCTTCATTAGCATAACTAGCTTCCTAAACTGTTCATGACAAATTAGCCTCCAGACTCTTTATCATCTTTGTTGCTCTACTTTGCATAATTTGTAGGGTCTCATTGCCTTTTTTGTATCATGGTGAACAGTACTGGAAGCAGTGTTTTAGGTGTGGCCTCACTAGTGCAGTATAAAGTGACAATATCACTTTATATAATTTTGATTATTCTCTCTGTTGATGCAGCAAAGGACTGCACTGGCTTTTTTGGCAGCTGCTGGACATGGCTGACTCATACTTAAGTGGTGGTCCACTCTTAGATCTCTTTCAGTTACTGCTGTTGAAACCAGGTACCAGCTATTTTTGTACCTATGCATTTGGTTTTTCCTGCCTAAGTGCAGGACCTTACCTTTCTCACCACTGAACTACACCTTGTTGGATAGGGCCCAATGCTCGAGTTGATCTTCTAAAATATTAGCAATTCCCCCCAGATTGATGTCATATGCAAATTTGATAAGTTTGTCTTCTGCCCCCTCTTCTAGCTCATTTATGCAGATATCGAAGAGTACTGGCCCAAGATAGAACCATGAGGTACCCAACTATATGACTATGGTGGCTAGATTAGATATAGTAGGCAGGAGCTTATTGATGGACTGTTATGGTGAAATGATGTATTTTGCATCATAATGAATGGTAAGTAATTGAGCAACAATAAAGGTTGTTTCCATCTATCTTGGGAAGTATAGCACCCACCTACTTATCAGTCTAGGAATTAATACATTGATTTTTAAGAGGCAAAGTATCATAATGGAGGAATCCTACCTTGAAAATAACAAATTAAATCTTTTGTTTGAAACCTTGAATTGGATCAGCTTCATAATGGTCCCTATATTTTTCTAAGCCTTTTATCATCTAGTGCAGGACTTTGGACTGAATATGCCACTTTTGTTTCAAATTTTCACTCTTTTTTTTAAATGCATTGTATTAAATGTTAATAATTTATGTGATATAAACATAGTAAAAGTTGTGATTAGTATATGGTACAAATGTATGCTTTTGTGTTTTTATTTTGCACAGAGAAAAATATAGAAATAAAGTTTTACTTTTTCCAAGAATTTTATAAAATGATTAGTAACATACATATATGCAAACATTATAAATGTGAGTCAGTTGTCAAGCATCTGAATATAAATCACGTGACCATGGGGATGCTTTAATGGTCGTAAGTGTAAAAAATGGTCATAAGTCACTTGTTTTGATGCTGTCATAACTTCAAATGGTCATTAAATGAACTTTTGTATGTTAAGGACTCCTGTAGTTTCTTAGTGTTATGGAACAGATTTAGATCTTTTAAGTATTGTATGTAATCAAACTTGTCCAAGGGCTGTTTATTCTAGGGAACTTTGGCTATTTATTTTTTTAAAATCATACACTTAAAAGTCACATTCCTTTGAACCCTGCTGTTGGGAGAAGACTTAGAATACCACAGATAGGCAAAAAAATTGAAAAAATTGATTCTCTTCTTTTTGGTATGTGATGTCACACTGATAAAAAAGAGATGCATTGTGATACAGTGTTATCATTTCCCCTCCCAAGTTGACCTTCTTGCGGATGCCTCTGGAAAGGAGGACACCCTGGGGAAAAAAACCCAAAACCCAACCAACAACCATTCCAGTCAAAGTACTAAAAGATTACTTAAAAAAAGATTTCACAATCTAGATTGTCTATTCCTAACATTGCAAAGAATCAGAAACATTTCCTGTATCTCCCTAGCCTAATTTTTAAAAGTTCATTAAGAATGCCAGCCTTCAGCCTAGAATGGTTCGGGTAGGTATAATAATAATTAAACTACATTTGATGGCTTGCTGAGTTAGTACAGTTTGCATGTACTTACTGTATTTTTCCACTTGATTGTACAACTTTCAGAGTGTTTTGAAAGTAGCATTTATTAAGGCACTTAGAATTTCAACAACTGCACAAACGAGCATAAACCAAGAAGCAAGCACATTTCATACACGCTTAATAAGCTAGCCATCTGAATCATCATTTTTGCATTTAAACCACTTCTATCTAAACTTAAGTGCAGCATTGCATTCTACCTTCACAAATTTTATTGTATTCATTTCAACAATTTTTATTGTTGCACTGCCAATAAAATACTCTGGGGAAGTTGTCATAAAATGAATCACTTTATGCTTCCTTAATTGAAAAATAGCAACTTTGATTGCTTAATTTAAAAAGTTAACTAAGATACATTCCAAAAACGGAACTGTTTTCTATCAGCTAAGAAAATTCAAAGAAATAAAACAGCCTTTCTCTATTTGTATGTGTGTTCATTAGATTTATATTCCAGGAACTCAATGGTGCCTCTTCATAATAATAACCCTGAAAAGTAGGCTTGGCTAAGAGAAAGGTATTCGCCCAGAGCACCCTAAGGAGCTTCCATGGCTGGGTGTGGGCTTGAAAAACCTTTGGGCATGAGCCATTGAAGGCCTGTATACAGATAGTCCTTGACTTACAGCAGTTCATTTAATGACCATTTAAAGTTACAATCGCACTGGACTAAGTGACTTATGACCATTTTTCACACTTACGACCACCAAGGCATCCCCATGGTCACATGATCAAAATTCAGACACTTGGCAGTTTGAGTCAGTTGCCAAGCATCTGAATTTTGGTTCGTGACCATGGGGATGCTACAACAGTTGCAATTGTAAAAAACAGCAATAAGCCACTTTTCTCCTGGCCATTATAACTTTGAATGGTGGCTAAATGAACTGCTGTAAGTTGAGGACTACCTGTATCTTAGATTCAATAGCAACTGAATCTTTTTTCTTTCAATTATGCTCCCCAGATAATTCAAATCTCTTCCCCCCACCCCCCTATCTACAGTTTCTCTGTCTGGAAGGGAATTTGCACTTACTTTATCTTTCCTTCGCCCCTTCTCCTGCATCATGACCTGATGTTCTATCATTTTTGGCTGCATTTTACACTGTAGGAGGAAGGATCCTTTGTTCTCTATCCCCTCACAAAAGAGATGATTCTCCTCATGGACCTTTAAGTGCCATCTTTTTATTAATCTTCCTATTGGCATTCCAATTTTAATCTGCCATCTCTTTTTGCTCCTTTCATTCAGAGGTTTGGATGAACCACTCTTCTCTGCTATTTCACATTTTTTTGAGGCAAACTTTTCTAGAACTTAATCTTTTGCCATTTAGGCTCAGGGTTCCCTTTGCCATTTTGCACTTTCTGAGCTAAAACGTTCAAGAATTTAACAGTATTTTTTTTCCATTTAGGATCAGGTTTTTCTTCAATATTCTTTAATTTTCTTGAGAGATCCTTGGTGCTCACTGAGCTTGGTTTTCTTGCAAAGATTTCATTACTCAAACTAGATAATATCAGTGCTAGTGTAATATTCTTTCCTTCCGGACCTCAATTTGGCTCTGCCACAGCTTTTCACCAGGGCCACCATACTTTATTACCTCAGACCAGTTTTGGCTTCTCAAATAAAAACTGTTTCTTAGTATCTTCAATACAGTGGAAGCGCTTCAATCTTTAGTACAGGTTTCAAAACCAAGTCTCCCAAGGACTTCGAGGCAGAAACCTCTCAGCGATAAAGCGATTTTACGAGAAAGAAAACTACGGCGTTCTACCTCAGGGGTTCTTCATAGGCGGGAGGTAAATTATTAGCTCTGCCCTTTCCAACGTTTCTTTGGAATGTCACAATAACGGCTAAAGAGGCGGAGGGGAAGGTAGTTTGAGAGGTCACGTGACTTCAGAATGCCGCTCTTTTTTTGAGAGCGAGCGCAGCGCTACTGCAATGCGCAGGCGCGCGCGGGTCTCTCTTGGTCCCAGTCAAAAAGAGTCAATAATATCTTTAAATGGCGACCTTTCCTCGATTCGTTTTTGAGTCTCCTTTCCAGTTTTCTCTCTCTTTTCTCTTCCTTTCAAATTCTGTCGGTTGGTTTGACAGAAGCGCTTAAGGTGGCTAAAATTTGGGGTTCACCTGTTATGGGGTTCAGTTTGTTTTGGGCAAGACGTCCTTCACTATCCATAATGTGTGGGGTTCCCCCTCCCCAGGGCTAAATGGAAATAAAGCTCAAGTATTTTGACCACTTAATGAGAAGAGAGGAGACATCGGAGAAGACTCCGTTGCTGGGAAAGAAGGGGACAGCAGCTGATGAGATGTGGTTAGAATTAGATAGTGTCATTGATGGAAGGAACATGAGTTTGGGCAGAATAAAAATATATAATAGAATAGAATTGAATAGAATACAACAAAACAACAGAATAGAACAGAATAACAGTTGAAAGTGACATTTGAGGTCTTCTAGTCCAACCCCTCCTCAGGCAGGAAACTATTTCAGGTAAGGGTTGGTCACTTCTTTAAAAACCCCAGTGATGGAGCATCAACAACTTCTGGAGGCAAGTTGTTCCACTGATTAATTGTTCTAACTGTCAGGAATTTTTCCCTTAATTCTAGGTTGCTTCTCACCTGGATTAGTTTCCACTCATTGCTGCTTCTCCTGCCTTCAGGTGCTTTGGAGAACAGGTTGACCCCTCCTTTGTGACAACCCCTTAAATATTGGAATATTGCTATCATGTCACCCTTAGTCCTTTTCATTAAACTAGACATACCCAATTCCAGCAACCGTTCTTTATATGTCTTAACCTCCAGTCCCCTAATCATCTTTGTTGCTCTTCTCTGCACTCTTCCTAGAGTATCAACATCTTTTTTTATATCATGACAACCAAAACAATGTGATATTTCAAGTGTGGTCTTACCAAGGCATTATAAAGTGGCATTGGCACCTCATATGATCTTGATTCTATCCCTTTGTATGAGATGGTTAGATAGTGGCATGGATGCAATGAACATGAATTTGGGTAAATTCCAGGAAGTGGCGGGGGGGGGGGGAGACTGGCATGCTGAGGGCCATGGGGTGACAAAGAGTTGGGCATGACTTAGTGACTAAATAACAAAAAAGAAAACAATTGCAGTCCAATTTTAAGGTTTCATATTTTGTAAATCCATTCTACTGCTCTCTTGAATGTCCCTTCAACTCTTTATCAGTCTCATTGTGTTCATAAAACTCTAAATCACGTTGAATTTAAACATAGTTTATTGAATAAATCATAGAAAGTTTGGCTTAAGCAATACATGAAGCCATCAATCACACTGGCTAGTTTCATGCAGTATTCTAAGAAACTGGGAAAGGACACTTGATGTAATGGTTTATAAGAACCCCAGTTTACTAAGTCCCAATATTTCAAGCAAATTATGCTGCTGTTTGTAACTAATAGTTGTCTATGGCTCAGTTGGTTGATTGGTTTCAGGTGCTCACATAATGTTCCAAACTAACTCAATGACTTACTGATTCCCAAACAACATTATTAACAGATTATGTTCTGTTTCATCAAATAAAGTTTAAACGTCATAACTTAGCAAAGATTTAGAATTAGCCTGTTTGTTCTCATACAATCATAAAGTTTTGAAAGATCCCGATCTCTCAAGTGGTATATAAAATAAAGCTTCATGGAAAATATTTCAGCACCAAGACTGCCCGGATCTTATACCAATTCTTTTCTTCCCTTTGACAGATTTCAATGAATCCCAAATGGCAAATTTCATTGGTAGCTCTTAATCTCTGAATTTCTTTTAGATCCTTCCATCATCCAGATGAAAGCTGTTTTGCTACTATTGAACCAGACAGGCGAAGATACTTCTGGAAGGAAGGCCCTCTTTGCTGCTATGGGTGTTCTGCACCTCTGCAGAAGAAAATGGGTAAGTTCAAAGGAGAGGGCAGGTTAAGGTCAGGTTTATGGGAAGAGGGCAAACATTTCTTGCAACCTATTCTGAGACACTCAAAAAACTTCTTTAATTGTGAGGATAATTCCAGCGCTCTGCATTAATGGCTGACTGTATTAGTTTTCCATGGAAACATTAGGGGAAAAAAACCAGTTTATACGGACCTGTATAACACGAAACATTGAGGACCAATTGCACATACATAGATACACATTTTTTAGATCTGCAATTCTTATTGCAGCATTTAATCTGTCTAAAATTTTATACAAATCGTTTGGGTTCTGAGTCCAAAATATACTTTCATCTGCATAAACACAAACTCACTTAGTTAAGTATCCAACAAGTACATTTCAATCAAATCAAATATTGATTATAGCCATGGACTAGAAATATACCTAAGGGGTCCTGGTGCTCTCTGAACTTGGTTGTTTTCTTGTAGACATTTCATTATCCAAAATAAGTACAATCATCAGGGAACTCATCTGTTTCTATTTTCACCTATTTTTCTTTCTCCTATTCCGTAGATTGAGGATAAGAATCTTATTTCATTTTTAGACTTTAAGAAGTTAAAAGGTTTTCCCAAAACATCCTTGGTGAAACTCATGAAGAAACGAACCATCAGATGAAAATCAGGAGTGTTTTTAATGTGAACATCTGATCTTGGGTAACACTTGGACCTGAACAACCATCTCAAGGCATCCATTGGTCCTTCCAGTTCAAACAGTCCAAATGAAGAAAACGTATGAATTAGCAGAAGACATTATTTATTTAATCCATGTTTAGAAGTATGAATCCATACAGAGTCCCTGTTGTATGATAATGGCATATTACATACTCATCTTTAAGAGTTTTTCTTAGTCCTTCACACCGCTAAAGATAGCTCAAGTTTGTATTCACCATAGGGAACTTGTTAAAGACTTCAGCATCCTTCTTGCACCTGCTTCCAGAAAGGTGCAAGAATATGGAGACAGAAAATGTATTTAACCTTATAATTATCGAGATATAGTGATTTGGCCAAAACCCAAAGGTATTCCTGCATCAGCATTATGCTCAGCCTGATTTAACATCTTGCCCTATCATGCCTGGGCAGGCTAATGCCAAAATAACATCATTGTGTATCATGGAGAGTTTAGGCTGAGATTAAGGGCAGGCATAGACACTAATGCCAGTGTAAGAATTAATATTATCCCCTTTGTAATGTTGAAACCTTGGCCAGATTCAGTTCCTGATATGGCCTTGAGTTCAGCAAGAAGGGAAGAGACTTTCAAAGGTAGAGCTGGAACATTATGTTCTGTTTCTTTGGTCCTGTTGCTTTTGCCCAATGCAGCCAGCTGGAAGCCAAAGATGAAATGCCCATTGAATTTCATCATAGATCAGGAGGGGTTCAAGAGTTATTATCAGTTGGGAGACTTCCATATTGGTGGGATTCTCCCTGCGACTCCTGTCATGTTCTACCCATTTGTGTTCCGCCAATCTCCTTCCACCAAACTTGCAAAGTAAGTCATTTGACAGACGTGAATTTAATATTATTAAATGTGTTTCAGCTTTCATGGACCCCTGATGACCCTGTTTGTCAAGGACAGCATTTTCTGTCTTACTCATGGAGAAAATTTGATCTCACCAGTTGCTGCTTTTTACTGTCTTGAGAGAGAGAAAAATATGAAATAATTATCCAGGCTCTGCTGCCTTTTACTTAAGAGTTGCTGTCATTCATTGTAGATATTTCTAGCATTAATCCAAAGAAACCAATGTAGCATGTGAGAGGTTCTGGGCATACTGAATCATTGAACCAGATTTTTATTACTTTCTGTGAACAATCCAAAATAAGACTACAATTGAGCAAAGATCTTTTTATATGTAATTCATCTAATTTTCATTTTGGCGTCTCAAAGTTCTTTGCTGGAAGAAAGAAAAAGAAAGAAGAAGAAAAAGAAAAGACAAAATATATATAAAAAAGAATAGAAGGAGCTCGAAATTTATTTTGTGGTGAATACAAGTATGATTACAAAATTATCTCTTACTCTTATGGTTACAAAAATACCCTCTCTTTTTTCTGTTATCTGTTTTTTTTTCTACAGTAATTATCAAAACCACAAATCATGAGCATTTTCTTCTGTTTCATGCAAAATACCAATAAGGGATTTCCAATGAGCAATAAATGTAATGTATCAATAAATCTAATTTAACAAGAAAGTTTTTTCTTAATGTAGAAGTATTTATTTAGCCCACTATTAATAAAATCCTCAGCCCTTACTGCAATGTTTCACCATAATGCTTCTGAAATGGAACTGGCCCTTGAGATCCAAGAAGAAATCTAAGCACATGTCAAGAAAATATTTTGGTGTTAGGTAGTGAAGAATTTGATAGATAGTGTATCACTGAATAGCAAATTAGAAAAAAAACTGATCTGATGCAAATATTTTATTGCAGCAAAGGGGAAATATTGTACTGGAACATCCTGTCCTTTATTTTTACTGTTTATGAGATCAACCATAACCCTCAACTATTGGCCAACTTTACCCTGGGTTACAATTTATTGGACAATTATTTTGATGCGAGGAGTACTTCTGAAGTCATGGCAGACCTGCTCTCAACTGGACAGGCCAATATTCCAAACTACCACTGTGGGAAGCAGAACAGTTTGCTGGCAATCATCGAAGGCACTCATTCTGATACTTCTAAGCAGATTTCAACCATGTCAGAAATCTACAAAATCCCACAGGTATGACAATAATGTCTGGCAGGAAAAAGTATGTTTATTTGAAGTTGGTCTGAAATAGGTTTTGAACATGTAAAGTGAACATGTAAAAATATTGTATGACTCAGTGGGAAAGGAACTGTGGATATAATGTGATGCTTGAACAATGGGAAAATATGTGGATGAAAGGTTTAAAATTCACACTGAACTATAATTTAAAAGAAAATGTTTATAAGATGATGTATTGTTGGTATTTAACACTGGATAAGTTAATTAGAATGTATAAAGGTATTTCAAATTAATATTGGAAATGTAAAAGTAAAGAAGGGATCTTTTATCATTTATGGTGGGCATGTGATAAAGCAAATAAATTTTGGAGTAAGATTCATATTTTAATACAGAAAATTGTTAAAACGAGGATAAAGATGAAACCAGAAACTTTTCTTTTGCCTTTAATGGGAAAAAGACTTTGGGGAAAAATGGAACTTTGATCTTATATATGTTGACGGAAGCAAGACTATTGTATGCATAAAAATGGAAGGACATTTCAAGTTCCACCATGGACAAATGGCTACAGAAGCTGATGGAGTTGGCAGAGATGGCTAAATTGACTGTTTTGATCAAAGAAAAGAAGTACTTTTGTTGCTACATGGAGAACTTCTGTACTTTGTGCTTAAGGTGGAAAAAAAATGAAACTTTGATTTTGGGTTTTGCTAATTAGATTGATTTGTTGTTATAGAAACGGCTAGTTAATATTATTACGGAAAAGTAAAAAGTTGAGATTTGATGTTAATGCTTTATTCTACTGCAACTGAGAGTTGGAAGTTTTTTTCTTCCTCCTTTCATCACTTTCCCCCCTCTCCTCCCCATGTATTTTATTGTATTTTATTCTATAATCTAATAAAATGTTTAAAAATTTAAAAAATAAAAAAATAAAAAGGCACATACGAGAGCTGTGGTGGCACAGTGGTTAGAATGCAGTACTGCAGGCTACTTCTGCAGACTGCCGACTGCCTGCAGTTTGGCAGTTCGATTCTCACTGGCTCAAGGTTGACTCATCCTTCTGATAGCAGTAAAATGAGGACCCAGATTATTGGGGCAATATGCTGACTTTACACCACTTAGGGCTGTAATTCAGTACATTATTATAAAAGTAAAATGCTATGGATTTAATCCCATTTTATTAAAGATACTACAAGTTATGGAGTTCTTGATGCTAAGAAGCAATATTTCCAATAGTATAGGTCAAGTTAAGTGGGGTTTTTTTGTTTGTTTTATTAACAGTGCCTTATCTTCTCCGATCATAATTAAAATTTGGATTTTTTAAATAAATGGAAGGAATATAAAGTTGGCTTATTTGATTAAAAGAGATATGTTGTTATCTCTAGTAACCCTTAATGGACTTTTGCTGATCAAGACTAAACATCAAGGCTTTAAGTTTATGTTTATAGACCAATGATGGGATATGGGAAAAAGAGATAATTTGTATTTTAAGAAAAGGTGATGTTATTAAAATTATTTATACTTATTGTGATGAAGGAGGAACATTTCTTTATATATTCCTTTTTCTTTACCATATTCTTATTTTTTTCTTTTTTAATTCTATTCTTTTATTCACTTTCTATTTTTTATTTTTTTTATTACTATTTATCTTCTAGCTATAATTTTTAATTAAATTACTATTTAAAATATTGGATGTTGCAATCCTGCTTGCAGCTAAGAAGAAAAAGGAAAAAAAGATGGTCTTGCTAGGAGGTGTCTGTCTTTTGATTTCTGGATACAAGCTGTCATCCAGGGATCCTGCAAGATCTCAACCTTTATGTATCATGAGGTCAACAAATCATTTGTTGACTCCTTAATGCAGGAAAGCAAATAACTGAGGTTTGTCATAGAACCAGGGACCAAGGCAAAGACCTGTCTTATCCCTTCCTCTGTAGGTCAGCTATGGTTTTGTTTCTCAGACTTTGAATGAGAAAAATCAGTTCCCGTTCATGTACCGGATGGTCCCCAAAGAAGAACATTTCTACCAAGGGATTGCCAGGATGCTCCTGCATTTCAGATGGAATTGGATTGGTCTCATTACTCCAGACTCTGAAAATGGAGAGAGATTCATCAGGACCTTTGTCCCAGTGCTCGTTCAGAATGCAATTTGTGCAGTTTTCATATACCGCTCCCCCGTTTTAACCAAAGAAAGAATAAGCTTTGAATTTGAAGTATTTCGTCTCTGGAACAATGTCAGTGTGCTGATTTATTATGGGGAATATCGTTTTTTCTATGGCACAATATGGCTTATGCAAGCTATAATTGAAAAATTCATCAAGCCCATTGTGGGTAAAGTCTGGGTGACCACTGCTTCATGGGATCTCTCCTTGAACCTAGATCTTAATATTTTGCTTGCCCAGCAAACACATAGCTTCCTTTCCTTCTTAATCCACAGAAAAAAAGAGGTGAACTATGATGCGCCTCGGAAAATCTTAAGGGCTTTGAGCCATTTTCAGAGGAAGGCATTTAACTGCTTATATTCAAAGCATGGGCTATCAAAGAGAGGAAGGATACGGTGTCAAGAGAAAGAAAACCTGGAGTCTCTGCCTAAAGAGGTGGTTGAAAAAAACCTGTCTTTAGACAGCTACAACATCTACAGCATCCTCCAGGCTCTGGCGCATGCCTTAAATGCTGCACATTTATCAAGATCCAGACAAAAGAGAATGGTCCATAATGGCAGGCAAGCTCCGTTGAGTATTCAGTCATGGCAGGTATTGATTTTTCCTTCTCCATCAAATTGCTGAAAAAATAATCAGTATTCTGGTTCATGATGAGCTTGGTGGACTCGGAAAGCATTTCTCCCTGATCCATTCCATATTCTCTGTTGACAGAAGACCGACCCCGATCCATCCCACAGCTGTTCTTTTCTACCCCAAAAAATATTTTCCACTTACCAAATTTGCGGATGATACTAAGCTGGCAGGAATAGCTAACATCTAGAAGATAGGGTCAAGATCCAGATGGATCCTGACAGACTTGAACACTGGGCCCTATCTAACAAAATGTAATTCATTGTAGAGAAAAGTAAAGTCCTATACTTAGGCAAGAAAATCCAAAAGCAGACATATAGACTGGGTGAAACCAGGCTCAATAGCAGTAACTGTGGGAGGGCTCTTGGACTCTTCGTGGACAACCTGTTAAATATCAGCCAGCAGTGTGTGGCGGAGCTGAAAAAGCAAATGCAATCCTAAATTGCATTAACAGAGGGATACAATCAAGATCAAGTGAGGTACTAATACCAGTCTCTAAAGCTTTAATAAGACCACACCTAGAATACTGCATCCAGTTTTGGTCACCACAGTATAAAAAGGATGTTGAGATTCTAGAAAAAGTGCAGAGAAGAGCAACCAAGATGATTAAGGCACTAGAGGCTAAAACTTATAATGAACAGTTGCTGGAACTAGGAATTTCTAGTTTAATGAAAAGAAGGATTAGGGGAGACGTGATAGCAGTCTTCCAATATTTGAGGGGCTGCCGCAGAGAGGAGGAAGGGGGTCAAGCTATTTTCCAAGGCACCCGAAGACCAGGCAAGGAATAATGGATGGAAACTGACCAAGGAGAGATTCAACCTAGAAATAAAGAGAAACTCTCTGACAGTGAGAACAATCAACCAATGAAACAGCTTGCCTTCAGAAATTGTGGGAGCTTCATCACTGGAGACTTTCAAGAAGAGATTGGACTGCCATTTATCAGAAATTATGTAGGGTCTTCTGCTTGGGTGGTGGTGATGTTGGACTAGATGACCTTCCAATTCTGTTAATCTGAATCTGAATCTACACTTCATTGGTGACACTACATCTGGAGTTTGCAAAGTTTTGGGCATATATTTTCAAAAGTGAAAATAGAGTCAGAAGAGGTGACAAAGATAAGGGATGTTTGAGGATATGACAAAGGATTTGGTGAAGGAACCTGGAATCCCCAGTCTGGAGAAAAGACAACTGAGATATTATCTCAGTGTCACAAATGTGCCATAAGGAAGATGGTTTGCAACTCTTCTCCATGGCCATAGAAATTAGGACTAAAAAAATAGGTTTTACATTGCAGTTACCTAGATTTTGTTAAAGAACAAGGAAAAACTTTCTAATTGTAAGATACATGCAACAGTCTACTCACGGAAATTGTCCGTTGTTCATCTCAGGAGGTTTTTGAGAAGAGGCTGGACAGCTATTTCTTGAGGATTGGTTATCCTGCACATTCACTGGTTTGCATAAGGTCAACTTTGTGACCTTTTCCAACTCCATGGTCTTATGATCCGATAAAGAAGTCTTGTCTAGTTCATCCCTTCTCTGGTTGCTATTGAAGAAACCAGCTTCCAATTCTAATGTTCACTTCTGTTACAATTGGGCATATAGCGACACCAATTTACTGATTCTTGGACTGAGCTAGCTGCATGACTTATTGGGAGAATGGTCAAAAGAAAAAATTGGGAACAAGAAGGGAAGCCTATCTGTTGTGGCCTGTCGGCTGCCGGCCCCTCCAGCAGCCAAATCAAGAGGAGGAGGCATGGGAGTCAGGGTCAGCATCAAGGCAACCTGAGAGCTCTGAGGGAGAAGTGGGAATGAAGCTGGCAGAGAGAGAGCGACAGAGGTGGAGCCAAGGCCATCCGTCAGCCCTCAGATGGAGAGTCAACAGCCCCCAGGTCTGGAGGTGGCTGATAAGGAAGAGGAGGAACAGCTGGGTCCAGGGCCTGATGCACAGATGTGTAGAAGGCAGAGGAAAGGAGAGCAGTGGAAATCCATGAGCTGATCCTGGGGAAGGAAGAGCCACTGCTGCTACAGAAGCCCCAAGCCTCACCCTAGCTTTAGAAATAAAAGACAGGGGGCGTAGATGAATAGATGTGGCAGACAACTATTCATCTTTCGGCCGGACAGACTTGTTAGCCGGCGGTGAGAGATAAACTTTTTGCCAGGGCTGATGGTGCTCCTAATAAAGGAATCTTTGAGTTAACTTCAGAGGGTTTGTCATGTTTGGGGAGTTGGGTCAGAATATTATCCTTCTCTACCTTATTTCATTCTACCAATACTTATCTACCAGAGATTATATTTAAAGTCCCTTTGTTTACTAGGTGGAAGTGGAAATGATCCTAACATTTAAAGATTCTTTCAACAGAAAATCCAAAATGTGCTAATGTTTAAAATGCTTACACTCCTGCCTAAAAATTAGCCTTGGGACCATTCATTCCAATTATACCAAACAGAGGGGACCTTAGTCCACACATGTGTTTCAATTTCTCCAAAGAGGAAAAATTAGCAAGTCAATTCTTTTCCCACACATGTGAGTTTGTTGTCTTGGAAGATTAAAACTTCAAGAGGACAGGGCTGAACAATCTCAGTGGGTTTCCTGCTTTTGAACACTGACATTATTTTTCCCACCATTCCAGCTTCACTCTTTCCTAAGAAATGTCCACTTTTACAATACTTCCATAGATGGCGTGTATTTGGATGAAAAGAGGGAACTGGTTGCTGCGTATGACATCATGAAATGGATAGTGTTTCCCAACCAGTCCCTTGGAGCAGTCAAGTTTGGCAAGATAGACAGACAAAGGGGATTCAATGAGATGAAATTCACTCTTTACCAGAATGTCAGAATCTGGACCAAACGGTTTAACCAGGTAGGGACTAATGGAACAATTTGTAATGCATGTAGATTAAAGGGTGAAGATATCAATAAGATTTTTCCTGGGGTCCATAGACTTTCCCTCTGATGTTTTCTCTCTGTTGTGGCAAGGAATCATTTAGGTCACCAAATCAGCATTACTATTGACTGACGACAGGCCTGTTTCCCAAGCTTTGGTCACTTCCGTGGCTGTTTTGTGCCTGCTCGTCCCACAATCTTAGTAGTTGCAAAATTGAATGTATGCCCTTGTTGCAATGTGAGGCTGCTGATGAGCTTGGCTCTCTTCGTCTGGCCATTTGCCTGTGTTTTTGCAATCTGGTGGTTAGCTTCCTCCCTGTCTCTCCTACCTAGTCAGAGGGATTGCTTCTGCATGGATTGATTGAAGCCTGGGAAACAGGCTTCAATCAAACAATAAAAATAAATAAAGCTATCCAATCAAAAAAATAAAACTTCCCCAGTGAAGTTTTGTTGGTCACTCTCCTCTCTTCTGTTCTCTTGGCAAACTCCTGTTGGTTCTCCCTGTTCACCTCATCATAATAGGTGCAGAAGCTACCTAATTATGCGTGGACAGCCACTCTGAATCTTCCTTTTCTCTCCGTAATTTCCATGATCAGCACCTAACACTATTTCATCTTCCTTGTTTTAGGTCCTTCCTCAGTCCAGGTGTACTAAAAGCTGTCACCCTGGACAGGCCAAGGTGGTTTTGGAAGGAAAGGTCCCTTGCTGCTATGCTTGCTCTTTGTGTGCAGATGGAACCATCTCCACTCAGGAAGGTGGGTAACCCCAGTGTCTTTGTATGTGTGTGTGTGTGTATTCTCTTTCCAAAGCCAGAGATACTCACTAGTCACTGTGGGCCTGCCATTCATTCTGAGCCCTTTTACTGAAAAAGGGAGCTCTCTTACCCTGTAATCCTAGATGAAAATTGAGATTAATTTATTCATTTGTTTATTTAATTTATAATCTGTCTGGCTCATATAATTTCAAGGCAATATAACTAAACAATATAAAAAGAGCATTAAAGAAAAGAGAAAAAAAACATGCTTCCAGAGAAAGAACATTACCTCAAATAAACCACTCCTCTCCAGGGCTTGCCTGGGGATGGGCAGGTTGTGGACTCTATGAATCTGTGGTGGAGGGATGGATGTCATTCCAGAGGTCAAGCAATGCACCAAAGCAGATGCCTTTCTAGGCTTCCAGCAGGTGGCACTTTTTAATCAATGAGATGTGCAATACGCCAACTCTGTTAAATTGGATAGAATGAGCAGCAGCCAAAGAAAACAGATAGTCCTTTAGATAACTTGGCTACACCAAGTGACATAGACACATATTCACATACACATACAGAGAGGGGGAGAGAGAGGGGGAGAGATGGGGAGAGAGGGATAGAGAGAGGAGGGTAGTGGTGGTGGTGGTCTGTAATTAATTAGCCAATTGCCTGATGGAAGAAGTTTTCTTTATGACTGGAAAATGGATTTCCATTACAAATGTATGTACTGTATGTATGTATGTATGTATGTACAGTATGTATGTATGTATGTATGTATGTATGTATGTATGTATGTATGTACATATGAGTTCTTCTATATATAATGTCTATAGAATACTGCTTGGGTGTGATATACTCTTAACAAAAATTTTAGAAACAAAAGTTTAAAATGCCATCTGCTTGATACATGGGATCCAGATTTTGAAGCTATTTGACACCTGAAGTTTTATACCTGATTTTAAGAAAGATGAACAATCAATTAAAGTTTCATGTAGACAGGTTTTCTAGGAGCGAACGTGAAGAAGTTCACTCAAATTAGCCAGTATAATAAATAACTCTCAGAGAATAAAGTAATTCTTAGAGATTAGATTTTAAATCATAATTTACAATTTATACAATAAATACAATTTACAAAGTCCATGGCTCAATTCCAACAGCACATTAAAATAAATTGAGGCTATAGGGCCAGCTTTAGAACAGATAAACCTGGAGGAAATCTGTATATGGTTGCCAAGATACAACATCAACGGGATAAGAATCATCAATCATGTTTACTGTTAATAAGATGAGGATTCATTTATTAAGATGGTATGATGCTAAATCTTTCCAGACTCACAGTGGCTTATAACAATGGGAGTTAAGATGGTGCAGGGAGATAAAATTTAATTTCCTGCTTAGTTCTTTATGTCACATCAGAATTTTCTTCCAAGGTTTATTCTGAGCCCAGGATGTGAGTTCTGCATCATTAACCAAGAACATCTTACAGAGGGAAGAGCACAAAGATGAAATTCAGTGAATATTACTGCTTCAATTAAGCAGTTCATTTGCTTTAACTTATCATCCTTAAAAAAAACAGAAGACATAATACATTGATCACACTATGTATTCCATAGGATTAATAAGAGCTGTGGTGGCACAGTGGTTAGAATGCAGTATTGTGGGCTAATTTTGTCACCTGCCAGAAGTTCGATTCTCACTGGCTCAAAGTTGACTCAGCCATCCTTCCAAAGTCGGTAAAATGAGGACCCAGATTGTTGGGGGCAAGAAGCTGACTCTGTAAACTGCTTAGACAGGGCTGTAAAACACTGTGAAGTGATATATAAGTCTAAGGCTCTTGCTATTTTATTCTGAATGCCATTAAGGGTTTTTGTGCCTTTTATGGCCTTTACACTAACTATTTTAATTTAAGAAGACATAGAATTGATGCCAGTGATTCTAAAACCATTCATCAACTTCTTAGATGCAAGTGATTGCCACAGATGTCCAGAAGATCAGCATCCAAACAAAGGTCAATATCAATGTGTCCCTAAGATTATAACTTTCCTGTCGTATGAAAAATATTTGGGCATCATCCTCGCTTCCTTGGCTTTATTCTTATCACTAATCACCAGCTTTGTGTTAGGAATCTTCATTAAATTTCTACAAACTCCAATCGTTAAGGCAAATAACCGGGACCTCTCCTATATCCTCCTCATCGCCCTCCTGCTTTCCTTTTTGACCTCCTTCCTGTTCATTGGCCAACCAAAGAAAGTTACCTGCCTTCTCCAACAAACCACATTTAGCATTATCTTCACAGTTGCTGTTTCTTCAGTTTTGGCCAAAACATTAATGGTGGTACTGGCCTTCCTGGCCACAAAACCAGGAAACAAAATCCAGAGATGGTTGGGAAAGAGTTTGGCCAACTCTATTGTTTTTTCTTGCTCTGGTCTCCAAGCTCTCATCTGTATTATCTGGTTGGCGGTTTCTCCTCCATTTCCTGATTCTGACATGCACTCGCAGCCTGAACAGATTGTCCTGAAGTGCAATGAAGGCTCTGTCATCATGTTTTACAGTGCCCTTGCTTACATGGGCTTCCTGGCTGCCATCTGCTTCACAGTGGCTTTTCTAGCCAGGAAGCTGCCTGGAGCCTTCAACGAAGCCAAGCTGATCACCTTCAGTATGCTGGTCTTCTGCAGTGTCTGGATCTCCTTCGTGCCAACCTACCTGAGCACCAAAGGGAAATACATGGTGGCTGTTCAGGTCTTCTCCATTTTGTCCTCCAGTGCTGGTCTTTTGGGCTGCATCTTCATCCCCAAGTGCTACATTATTATCTTAAGGCCTGATTTGAATACCAAAGAACAAATAACAGGAAAAAAATAAGCATGTCAACCATTAGGAAAAAAAAACTTCTTAATGTTTTATTATCTGATTTGTTCCCTTGTCTAAACTGTAGTTTGGCTTGCACTTGAAACTACAGTCATACTAAGAGTTCCAATGCTGTTTATAGGAAACTGTTCTCCTTTTCAATCAAACTGATAGCTTGCTTGCACATTATTAAGAGTATGGAATGCATATCCTGTTGGAGAAAGGCCCACAGTTTGAAAAAAAGCAAGTGGCCTTCAACTGTCCCCGGTGTGCAACATTTTAGTAGCAAGGATCTTTCCAAACTGAACTTTGCAGCCACCCCTCTCAACTTTTTGGGTTGATTGATGGATAATGATAGGTTTCAGAGGGAGCTGGGAGTTATACCTGAGGATCTGCAGAAACCCTAGTTGGTGACTGAGGTCCTAGACAGGATTGCACTCAAGCAGCTTCTCTTGACCTATGGATCTCATCATTCTCTATGGTTTACGGAGGAACCAAGAGATGAAATAAATTAATAGCAATAGCACTTAGACCTATATACCACTTCACAGTACTTTACAGTTTTCTCTAAGTGGTTTACAAAGTCAGCCTATTTCCCTCAATAATCTGGGTCATGTTACCTACTTCGGAAGGAAGGAAGGCTGAGTCAACCTTGAGCTGGTGGGAATCGAACTCTGGCACTCAGCAGATTTAGCCTGCAATACTGCATGCTAACCACTGCGCTACCACAGGTCTTGGCTTATCTATTAAAATATAATTGGAGAGACAGTGTCAGAAGGCAAAGAACTAACTTGAATGAATACTGGTAAGACTTTGTTGCAATTTATGTAGTGAAGTACAAATACTTATCTGCACAAATGATGTCTGCAGATAATTACCCACTGGTCCTTTTTGTGTGAACCTTTCTCCTGAGGAAGGAAGATGTGGAGATTCAACTCCAGGGGGTGCTGAAGAATATCCTGAATTTCCAGCAGATAGTCCCTTGGGTTTATTCAGAGTTAGATGTTGACATGAATACTGGCCTAGTAGAGATGCCCATATTATATCTTTGCTCAATTATCTAAGAACAGTTTAATCACATAGCTCCTGAGGAAGAATCCTATGGAATATGAGCTTGGCTACCTGTGCTTTAGATCCACATCTTCCCGGCTAGTTAAGGTCTCCTGGGTGATAACATGAGGGTGGGGCTAGCAGTAGTAAGTGCTTCTTTGTGGAGGGAGTGGTGGCTCGGTACTTAAAGGAGGCTTTGCTTCACCTCATTCTTAAGAAGCCATCACAAGAACCCACCCAGTTGGAGAACATTTGTCCTATCTCCAGCCTCCCCTTGTTGGGGATGACAATTTGGTCACACTGCAGTTTCAAGGGATCCTGGATGAAGTCAGGACTCAGATGTGGACATGAAATGAAAACTATTAGTTGTGGGTTTTGATGTTATTTGGTGGGACCAAGATGGAGCTAATGTGTCAATTTTCATTCTACATAACCTGCAGATGCCTTCATTACTACCTACCATGATATCCTTCACCAATGGCTCCAGGGGTTGAGAGTGGGGGCACTGTGTTGTCCTGATTCACTTCCTCCTTTCAAGGCCGTTTTCAGGTGGTGTGGATCAGGGGTAAGAGGTCCAATGTCCAGCCTCCGTTTTGTGGGGGTCTTTCAAAGGTTGGTGCTCTCCCTGCTCCTGCTTAACATCTACATGAAACCACTAGGCAAGATCATCTATCACCATGTCACCTGTATGATACTCAGCTGTACATCTCTGCCTGTGATGAGTTAAGCAATGCTGTGATCCCACCTCTCTTGGTGCATGAAAGCTGTTGAGGTCTGGACGGGGAACCACAGGCTAAAAATGAACCTGGCAAGATGGAGTGGCTTTAATTTAGGGATTCTTTAGCTTTTGGAGAATTACCATCTTTGGCAGTGGATGAGGATTGATAGCCAAATCTGGCCCTAGGTTCTGCCTCAGTTTACCTTCCCCATAAGTAACCAAGTCGTAAGATGATTTAAAAGCAATTTATTAGGGTAACCCTGATAAAGTAGGATCTCCCTAAGAAAAGGGAGAACCCTGCGACCCATCTTACATTCCTTTTTAAAATAAACAGAAAAAATGCAAAAGGAAAGTTGATTGGACAGGATAAATAAAACCTCTTTGCATAGGAAGTCAGTTATGATGTCAGGTGGGGTGAGGTGGGGTGGTAAATTGTAAGGAAAAAGGTTGTTTGGAGTTCGTAAAAAGACAAACCAGACCCCTATTTGTACCAACAAATTTTTCTTATCAGGATATAGTCTCCAGCCAGTTTATCTTTTCCATTTAGGAATGTTAAAAGCAATTGATCAATCCATACAGCAATAGGATAAAAAGTTTTTGTGCATTCCAGTCTGTAATGAGACTTAACACTCTTTTAAAAGAGAGAGAAAAATATATTAGATTAAAATACAAAGTAACTACAAGTAGTCTTTGATTTATGACCACAGTTGAGCCCATTTCTGTTGCTAAGTGAAACTTTTAATTGAATTCTTCCCCATTTGATGACCTTCCTTGCCACCGTTGTTAAATGAATCATTACAGTTGTTAAATTAGTAACATGGATGTTTAGTGAATCTGGCTTTCCCATTGACTTTGCTGATCAGATGGTCACAAATGGTGATCACCTATATCCCGGGACACTGCAACCGTCATAAATAGGAGTCAGTTGCCAAGTGTCTGAATTTTGATCAAGTAACTATGAAGATGCTACAATGTTTGTGTAAAAAATGGTCATAAATCACTTTTTTCAGTGACATAACTTTGAACGGTCACTAAACAAACTGTTGTTAAGTCAAGGACTACCTGTATGTTAGTTAACATGTTACAAAATCCATGTCATGTGCCTCTCAGGTTGCACTAGACTAACCCAGTTCATAATCTGGGGGTTCTCCTGGACTCGTGACAACTGCTCGAGGAGATGATAGTCGTGGATAGGAGATCCTTTGCACAACTACAAACTGTACACCTGTTATGCCCTTACCTGGACTAACATGTCCTTCTCACAGTCATTCATGCAATGATCACCTCCTTTCTGGAATATTGTAAAGTGCTGTAGGTGAACTGGCCTTTGAGTATCCAAAAGGTCCAGTTGATTCAAAATGTAGCAGCTCAAACAATTTTGCACAAGCTGAGACTTGCATCTCTTTTCTGGGTGGGAGTGGCACCAGGTGCCAATTTGTTTCTGGGTACACTCAAGGTGCTGGTTATAACCTATAGGGTTTGAGCCAGGCTATTTGAAGGACTACTTCAATCCACAAGGACAGGGAGGTAGGTCTCATCTATTATAGCCTTGGTGGCACAATGAATCGAATGCAGTATTGCGGGCTGACTCTGCTCACTGCCAGGAATTCGATCCTGACCAGTTCAAAGTTGACTCAGACTTCTAAGGTTGGTAAAATGAGGACTCAGATTGATGGGGGCAATAGGCTGACTCTGTAAACAGCTCCGAAAGTGTTGTGGAGCACTGTGAAGCGCTATATAAGTATAAGTGCAATTACTATTGCTACATATAGTGAGACTACAAAAAGGGGCCTTCTCAGTGGTGGCCCCTTCCCTATGGAATATCATTTCCCTGGAGGTACCATTTTCCCAAAAATAAGACCTCCCTGGATAATAAGCCCAATTGGGCTTTTGAGTGCATGTGCTAAAATAATCCCTCCCCTGAAAATAAGCCCTTCTCAAAAATATTGCAACACAGCAGCAGCCATGAGGTGACCACACTTGCTGCCTCCTGCACCTCAAAAATAATAAGACCTCCCTGGATAATAAGCCCAATTGGGCTTTTGAGTGCATGTGCTAAAATAATCCCTCCCCTGAAAATAAGCCCTTCTCAAAAATATTGCAACACAGCAGCAGCCATGAGGTGACCACACTTGCTGCCTCCTGCACCTCAAAAATAATAAGACCTCCCTGAAAATAAGGCCAAGTTCTTATTTCGGGAGTCAAAAGGAAATAAGACCCTGTCTTATTTTC